TAGTTTTTAGAGAATTGAGTGACAACTATACAAAAGAAGGTTTTATAAACAAAAATTAAGTTACAAGCAATTTCTTAAAAAATTGCTATTGTTTTGATTTTCATATTATATCTGATCTTAAATTCTAATTAATCAATTAAGTAGATATATTACAATATATCTGCATTAAATTACAATACTCTAATTTTAAAATTTAATCTAAAATTAGATTATAAATTTAAGTTGAATTTTATAACTATTTGATCTAAATCAACTTTTAAAATTTGAAATTAATTTTAAATCAAATAGTTATAAAATTTAACTTAAATTTAATTTGATTTTAGATCAAATTTTATTACTAATTTTAAACTAATTAGTATGTTTTAAATTGAATATAAATTAATTTTTTTGAAATTCAAACTCAAATTGAAAATTGAATTTTATCTTATTAACTAGTAAAAATTAAAAAAAATCTTTTGAAAAAATTAATATAAAGAATAATAAACCAATTTAATATATTTTCTATATATATATATAAAGCAAAAATTATATTCAATTAGTAAAATTTTGAGCAATTCTTAATTTTTTATAATTTAATAATAAAATATTTAAAAATTTTATCTAATTTAAAATTTTACTAATTAACTACTATTAGCAAAATTCTAATTATAATTATTTTAATAAATCAAAAAAAGTATTAGATTATGGTTATTTGTTATTTGAATCATTTAGGTATATCCTAGTTTGTGAAACACTATATTAGATTAAAAAAACTTTCATCTTTTAATATATTAAATCAAGAACCTTACCTTTTTAGACTAGTTGCTATATTTAAAAGACATTGATTGACACCGATCAAACATCTAATACGTATCTAAAGAAAGAGATTATCATTATTACCATTTAAACTTAACGTTAATAATACACAAAGCAGTCTATGCTGTTCAACAAAAATCCGATTAAGCCTAAATTAATTTCTTTTTTTTAATGAATATATGAAAAAAAATACGCGATCAATATAAGTTCATGCAAGAGCCAGCCGATTCTAAATGCATATTCTTACATATATACGTACAATGTATTTTTTACAACAATGCCATCATAGGTATTGAAATTGTCTCAAAAACTGACTAAGCAATTGGTACTTGGTGTTCAAGTAGAAAATACTAAACTTTTCTCTAAGTTTTGAATTTTATTTCAAGATATATAGTTTAAAAACAAACATGGTGTTGAATTTATAATTTTTAATATTTATCACCCAATTGTCGAAATTTTGATGGTCTCAGATGATTCAAAAAAATATGAAACGAAGCATAATACGTACAGTTATAAAAAAAATTAGAACATTTTAGCGTTAGCATGTAAAAAAAAAAACAAAAAAAAAAATAACTGGATCAAGGTACAGTACGTATGTAAATACTTCAACCTACTACCATTTTTGCTTTTTAAGTACGTACTATTTTCGGTACTTGTTTATATTCTGAAATTTCCTTGTATGTGTACCTGTACTAAACCGTTTTCTGTGGGGTAAATGAATGCTAAGAAACTTTCTGGATTTGGATACACTTGTACAACGCTCTTGAGTTATAAGTAAAAATGTTATTTGGCGTACTTATTATTTTTTTAAGAACTTAACCTGAAAAAACCCAAAATAAAATAAAGTAGATAAATCTCATCAGTTATATATATATAAAATAAACAATAAAAAAAACGACAAAAAACATGAAAAATTTCGAAAGTGATCTATCATCAAGATTACCATCAAAATCATTATACAAACATCATAGTACAAAAGCTTATTTCTCATACCCATTTTCCCAAAATCAATTTCAAATCGGATATCTTGGAACACAACCTTCAAGACTTATAGGCACCCTTCACTTGCGATACCCATCGTCATCACCTCTCCTAACCGATAAAATTGAACTTATGTTCATAGGAAAAGAATATATTCAATGGACCGAAGTAAAAAAATCTGCAAATCAAAACATAAAAATTTGTGAAATATCTATAATACTTTGGGAATCTTCTGTGAAAGGATTATATCAAGAAATCACAGAATTGGACTTACCGTTCGAGATTGAGTTACCGGATGACTTACCATCTTCCTTAAAATTTAATAAACCGGCTAAATCAAAGATAAGTTATAAGATTAGCGCGAAAATTTTTAGGCCCATTAAATTACTAAAATCGCAATATGGAACAAAAAAAATAGAGATCAGGTGCCCAATAAAAAGATGGTCGCTTCCCGTATGCACAGACACGGATATATATTCGTCCCCGATGAATTCAATGATAAGAACTTCAGGACCATCAGCTAAAGGTGTTGAGTGCGAAATAATGTTAGAGAAAACTAGTTTTGGAATTGAAAGTACTATATTTGTACCTATTCGACTCATACTAAACAACATGAAAGTTTATGTCAAGAAAATTTATATAAGCTTAAAAGAATATCATCAATTAGTGGTCAAACAAACAACAAATATTTATAGCAAAGATTTGATCAAAGATGAAGTATTTGGGGATCAGGTTATGTTAGTTTGTGGGACACTAAATGAGTATGCGATAAAGTTGAAGATGGATTTGAATAAGGTGAAGAAACCTATCGTTTGTAGTTTTCGTGATGAACATGTTGTAGTTTGGCACAAAATTAAGTTGATGATTGTTTTAAACAATGCACCGGCTATTAGTTTCGAGAAAGAGATCAAAATTGGGTATATCATTAGTGAGGAAGATGCGATTTCGATAGCTGAAGATCGGTGGGATAATATTTATTATTATGAGAGTATTAAGGATGATAAACTTTCTGCCAGAGCCGTATATAACTTACGTTTATATTAGTCTCTAAAATATTAAATGTTGTGAATATAACCAAAATATGAGTTAAAACAAATTATATAATTCGATGTAATATAATAATAAATTAGGGGTTGAGTACTCCAACTGAGTTAATAACTATATAATCGTTATGAAGCTAAAGTTAAGTCGAATTCCGAGGTCGGCTCGACTTTTTAACAATTTTTGTGACACTCATATGCTTAAGGATGGAATATCATAATACCTAGATGATGGAGTTTATCCTTATTTTGGACAACCTAAAATTTAGCTTCGCGGTAAACTATTTCGGCTAATTTTGTACCCCAAAATTTTAAAAATGATCTACATTATTAATTAACTGTTAACGTTAAAAATTACTTCTCTCTGAAGTGAAAAAAAGTGGTGATCGGTTAGATTAGTTCTCTTTGAGAATTTTTATTTCCGTCGATCAAATTTGATTATATGAATTATGGCCTATACTGTAACAGGTCATCTCGCCGAGTTATACAGTTATTGGTTGGCAGGTGGGTGGGCTTAAAATTCAAATAAATAGGGAGTTCCAAAATTAAAGATCCGATACCTAGTTCGATGTAAATCAGATGTATTCTTCTGTCAATCGGTCATCTGAGGTTCGTAAACTGTAATTCGAGACGCGTAAATTACAATCCGATGCAAAAGATAATTATGTACTTAATAGAGCTCTACATGTACTTGAAAGTTTCAATTTTATTGTTATACCAAGAACCAACCAAAATGAGATATAAAAATGGTGCAAAGGTAATACATTTTTCTAGAAAAAAAAAAAAAAAAAAATTAGGCCAAGTCGAATGCAAAGACAAGTGTAACAGATAAAGATTTACAAATTCCGTGTTAACGTTAATCATTAATTAAAAATAAAGATATTCTAGGTATCACGTGTTCACTTTTATCCTTTCTAGTACGACCGCTAACCAATTCTTCATAAGCAATTTAATTAACTGATAAACTAACCTTGCTAAGAAAAAAAAAAGCATATTCAGTTTTACCTGATTTTCCGTTACTAAAGTATCGATCTATGTATACTCATACCTTCCAATAAATTTTAAAATTTTGATTACACCAAGCACCATCTCGATGCTATTTGCTAACGCTAATGGTCGTAATGATGCTCATTAATCAAAATAGAAATTGTGTTAATACTCTATTGGTTTTTCTATTATGTTATTTATCGTCAAGAAATAACAGATGTAACCAGCTTTACAATATAGTAAAGCATCAACTTTAGCTGTCTGTTCTCTATTGCTCTAAAAGTAATATGAAAACACCTTAAATATTGAAACCATCAAAAAAAACCCCCACCATTCGGTGACTTTGTTACACTACGTACCCTAAAATTTATGTCTATGGCGCATGCTTAATATTTAAACTTTAATTAATAAAAAGAGATTGGGTTTAAGGTGGGGAGATGGGGTTTGACGTGAATAAATTATATGAATTTATTGATTTTGAGGTATAGTTTAATAGATGTGTTATTTAGATGACATATATTAACGATAATTAAGAAAATCAATTAATTCGGGGATTTAATTCCCGAATACCAGTTTAGGTATTCGTGGATATTGAATTATTGGATCAAAGAAATCATTAATGGAAATAGTTAAATTTGTTACCATACGAGTAAAGGCTAAGAGATAGTAGGCACATGCAATTGTTTTTGAGCTTCCCGATATTTTTCATTTTCATTAATGTCAAAAACGAAGATCCATGGCAAAGTTACTTGAGCGATCTCTTTGAATACGGTAAATTTTCTTAAGTTAGATACTGTATAAAAAAAGATAGTTTGTTGTGTATAAATTAAAATGTCAATATTTTATACTAATAAAAATATTTTATTTACGCAATAAACATTAACTACGCATATTATTTATAATATTGATTATAATTTCCGGAGCAGAGCGGAGGAACTTAAGTCCAGACAATAGGCAAAAAAAAAATTCCAGGTGGGTTCCGGGAGTA